CACACACACACACACACACACACACACACACACACACATATATATATGTGTGTATACACGGTGACCCATACATACAAGTATAGGAAAAGCTCGGATTGATAGAAGCACAGTTGTACAAACAAGATCAAAATTTTCATTAATAGTAAGTAAGTCAATGAGTGCGCATGTGATGCTATACTTGGCTGAGTTCATAGGCAGCAGATTTCAATACAATTCATCAATATGGAAGTGGCGAAAAAGCTTTACGCTATCCGTTTACCTGATAAAACTGTTTAGGTTGTTGATACTGTGGCTTGTGACGTAATGAACGGATCAGTTGATCTACACCCCATCGAAACGGGCCCCTTCCTAATGAAGAGATCCTACGCTGCGACAGAGCGGCACCAGTGCGACGCCCAGATGTGGACTCTTGTGAGTTCTGGTGGTTTAACTGCGTGTGCAATCGCGAGCCATCTTGTGTTTCGGACATCTGTACCAAGCTTATTTCTGTGCGTGCTTGAGTGTTCAATTTCTAGGCGTGTACAACCACCCCCAATTCCGAATGGTGCGTGTTTGAATCACGGAGTATCATATACAAATGCAATTCAAGCTACTGAGCTGTTTATTTAGAGTTTTCTTCATCTCTACTACATAAATACCCGGCAGGCCAGCACAGAGACAGAGTAAACAAGCGATATTTAAATCTGGACAATCACAGTGATCACTGATCAGTGATCACACCTCCCCAGAGGCTCCAGCCTCCAAGGCTCCAGTCTCCAGAGTCCAGAGGACCTCATTTTTAAAATATTTTTTTGTATAGAAAAAAGTACATATGTATGGATTCATTTTTGTTGGTTCGATTGTTTTTATTATAAAAAACAAAATCTACACAAAAACTTTTAGTTTTTGTTTGTGTTTTTAAAATAAATAAATATTTGTATGTATTTACTATAATCTGACAGACTGACAGCCATCTAAAATACAGATCGTGCTGCTAAAAAAAAAGGGAATATGTATTTGTTGAATTTTTAGGAGGTTGTGAAAAATAAGTATAAATAAAGAAGCTATAACAAAATAAAAAATAGGATCCAAAAATGAGTGGCCCAGCCCAGTTTCCCACCAATTTTGTTTCCTTGTCTATTTATTTAAAAAAATAGAAACGAAATAAGAATATGAATAGTAGGTCGAACTATATCGGCCGATGGACGATTTAACAAAAAACAACAAAAATATAGGTCAAAACATACAATTTTTGTGCCTGCTGTAATATTGTCGAGTCCCTTCGTCCGTCTGGAGATAGGGCAGCTCTCATTGAGCGTCACACCCGACGCCCGACGGCCGACGGGCCGACGTCGACAAGAAGTGAAGATTTTCAGCAAGATCATTTCGACCTGATTCTTGACCTCATATTTTAAAAAAATAGGCCAAATTCAATTTAGAGGGCTATGCCAGCCAGCCTGTCTTCCTTGTTTTTTTTTACATTACATATTTATTAAAAAAATTATAATTCAATTTTATAAGGCTATTTATGTGATTTTGTTCCAGCCAAATATCATATTTACATACAAACCGGGTGAACTAAATACTGTAATTTCCATAGATTTCCAATAATTGCAAATATCGCGTCCACGTACAGTATTTGATTTTGGGATGTGTAAATTTGTCACAAGGTGGGCCATGTTTTTTAATTTTTTTTACTGTTGTCGTATGTACAATACAAACTAAATACAAATCAAAATAAAAACTATCTATTTATTTATGTTCATAGTCATACGACATACATACAGGCACGTTTTTGTCTTTTAAAAAAAAACAATAAAAAACAAATATGTACTTTATAAAAGCATATATGTAAACAAACATCCGAGTGACCTAAATAAGTATATTTGTTTTATTTGAATTTTTTTTGTTCATAGTGGTATATACTGTGTGTATTTTTTAATTTTTAAAGAATATGTGAATATTTATCAGAATATGTATTTTAAAAATATGTAAATAAATACTGAACTGAAATATTTATTCATAAATACATACATATGTACTGTATTTTATTGTTTGTTTTAAAAATTAAATACCATATTTAGCTAAATATATATAAATAATAGTCTTCTAAAACAAACAAATATACAACCAAAAAAACCCCACGTAAAATACAGAGTACAGACAACAAAAAGAACACAAATATTTTGGTTGATTTAAGTATTTTTTAAAAACAAATTAGGATTTTGTACCGGTTTTATTTATTTATATGGGTTTGCCTTATGGTTGTTATAAAAAAAGAAAGAAGAAAAAACGCAGATGTAACGCAGTACAATCTGAATACATAAATATTCTATTTATAAAAATACCGAGGAAAAGTGACATCGCATCTATTTTTAAAGCACTTCTGATAAAAAATATCCCCACGGGGCAAGTGGGGAACCGGCAAGCTGCGGTCGGGCGCTGTGCTGCTTCGAGTCTTCTACACAGGCCGGCAGGGCCGGCAGGCGGCAAGCCGGCAACTTATCATTTTGTATTTATATATATATATATATATATTGTTTTTGTTTAGAAAAAATGAGGACTTTGTATATATCCTGACTTCCTGAGTCCCAAATTCCCGATATCAGAACAAATTAGCCCCCTTCCGAATATCAACTGAATTCATATTGAAGATCATTTGCTACGTGTTACTGCTGTATAGGCGTTTGTCACATATTGTATATAAACCTATAGGTCGATCCAACAAAGCGTGAGATATACATTGAAGAGTTCTTTGAAGTGATTGTGTCTATCAAATATACAACACAAACTGTCACTATGGTACTCAAAAACTTTGCAGCGAAACTGAAGTGTAAGTGTATACCACAATCACCCCACAAGTTAGCGCAGCGAACCTCGCAAGTGATAATCGTCAGTTTAGGAGGGGATGACGACACGTTGTCCGATAATATAAGCGGATTGCCCGATAATATAGCAAGCGCGTCGAAGGACAGCTGGAAAGCAGTCCGGCAATCGATGGCAAAAGCTAGGTCACAAAGTGCAAGGTCGAAAACAAAAAAATTAATCGAATCAAACGAACCCTTGCGCAGAACCTACACTTGGAACCCGAGTCGTACAAGTTGTGGACGCTCCATTCCCACATTATCAGATCTTATCCGCTCAGAAGAAAACAACTTTCCAATAACAAGGGTGGAATTTATGAAGTATGCAAGAGCACACTCGTGCGAAGAGAACGTGGGGTTTCTGATGGAATTTGAACGACTAAGAACACTCACGAGGAGGATTCGTGGGAGAGAAAATTATCACGAGTTAGTGGCACATATGGCAGTCAAAGTATTAGATACGTTTGTACATGATTCCGCTCCTCATACTCTCAACATCAACTTCAAGCTGCGAACACAAGCGTCCCAATACACCGAAGATCACGATTTAGAAAAACTGATAACTTCTCTGAGCGCAATTGCTATTGTAATTGAAAAAATGCTAGAATACGATGTATGGGAACGGTTCGTCCAGAAAAAAGAATCCTCAGGCGAAGATATATAAATTTCAAATTCAATTCCAAAGTTATGCTTTTAGTGCAAGTGCTATGTAACTTGACTGAAGGGTTGTAATATATACATACACCACGAGGGATCTGCCTGTTGAATTCATTCTGATACATATAAAAGTACGATTTAAGGATTTCTGTGATTGCTAATTGCATTTCATTGCACCTTATATATATATATATAGATG